TTTGCCTTGGAGTACGAGCCGCGACTACAATTTTCGGATGTGGGTTCGTGTATGCAGTCGGGCAACCGGACACGAGACTATTATTCTCCACATCCAGTTATCAATCAACGATTCCATCAACGTTGCCAAATACCTTGTCGCGATGCAGCTCTGGGAGAAGTTCGGCTGGTGGCCTAGGTTGCACACCTTCCAGCTTGTACAAAACTTTCGTCATCTTCGGTTTACAGAACCAGTTACGACTGCTCAAACCCTCGAACCAGTCGATTTCGTCGTTACGGTATAAAAAGAGCCCACCTCTGTGTCAATTCAAGAGCAGTGACGAGCAAGGGATGTGCAAACGGATTGCAAGTGATGTGCAAGCGGATTGCAAGTGATATGCAAGGGTGTGCATGAGTTTTGCTTCAAGCACTCGGAAAATTGTGTAGACCCCGAACATCATGGATTGGGCTGCTTCTGACGTGCTCGACAACATCTTGATGTACGTGTTGCCGATCAGAACCAGAATCACATTCATTACCCGTCTCGATCCAAACGATGACCCAGAAGAGGCACAACCCATAACCGACACCATGGTGGCGTACACTTTTCTGCGACGTGGGATACAGGAGTTTCGACTGTCCTCTTCGGTTGAGTGGACCATGGGCTTTCAGTCTTTGCATACCACCATCCGTTTTGCACAAATCAATGCCGCGGCATGCACCATGTTGAGCAGCCCGTCAAAAAGGTGGATGAGAGCTGTCGTAGACCTAGTACAGGAGCGTTTGCGAGTGAGCATTGTGTCACTGGCCAGCGTTGCGTACCAAACTGCAACTCAGTGTTGCATGTACTTCGATGCTGATGCGGAAGAAGCAGAAGTTGAATTGCACTTAGTGCATAGACTGCGCTTCCTGAGGTTTCGCAGCCCACTCTCCTAGGTTTTTTGAGCATAAGACTCTCCCATGAAATTCAGTGAAAAAGCAGCAAAGGATGTGCAAGGGACGTGCAAGTGACGTGCGAGGGATGTGCAAGGGATGTGCAAGTGACGTGCAAGTGATGTGCAAGCTCCTGCAATGAGCCCGGTCGGGCTTGTGTGTGTCCAACCCTGTTTCGAAGGGAGAGAAGTAGGCAGGGGGGCAAGGGCTCCAGTGATCAGCCTTGCCCAACGAAGCCAAATCACTGGAGTGGATGCAGTGGCTGATCACCACTGTGTACCTGCTTTCGGATTAGCCAGTGGGCCCGCTGAGGCACTGGAGTAACCAACACTAGAGTGACAGCTTCACGTTTGCCACTGCCGAGTTTCCTGCATGGTTGCTGCAATCTGATAATTCAGGTGTGACTCAGAGCTGTGTTTGAGTGAGGGCTTGCTTTGAGCTGCTGACTTTTCCTGACAGTATGCACCGACAGATCAGACCTGCGACACGATGTGTCAAGTGTGTGCGCATGTGCATGGATGCATGCGAGTCTTTGCGTATGCATGCGTCTCGAGCCGGGCGACGTGCTGCCACGATCAAACAGCACTCGCGACCAGGCGCCATCGACCTGGATTCCATCGCTTTTGCCACTGCCGTCAGAGTCTTAGTCGACTCGGAGCGAGCTATCAAGCACGAGACAAGATAATCGCCATTGGGGGCATGGGCTTTGCGGCACTCCAAGCCTGCCCAGGCGACTGCCTGTCAGACTGGCGGCAATTTGGGAAAGGCACAAATCTGCACTGTCATGTGTTCCTTTCCGCCACAGAAGAGAGTTCAAACGGCCAGAGCAAGAGGCACGATGCAAGGAAGTCCTCCTGCGAGAAAATGTAAACTCTCACAGATTTTCCTTTCCAAGATTTGCGCAGGTGCCGGAGCTCTTGAAGGCACTGGCCGACTCAGGGTCCATGTCGCTGGTTCGGGCCTTAGTTTGGTCCTGGTGTCGTGCCTCGTGCCATCGCCGATGAAGGACCTTATGAGTACAATCCCAGAATCTGCAAGTACATGTGACCCTTGAAATTTGTCACTCGTGCTGCCCTCCTGTGGCCATCGCATCCGTCATGCCGTTGCTTGGGGGGGAAGCGGGGCACGAAGGGAAACCTGATACGTGCAGCAGATTAACGGACTACTTCGTCGAGGGCGAGCTACAACAGCGTAGTCGTTGAGAATGTCTCAAATCAAAGGAGACAGTGATCGTGCAATGGCCAAGGCAAGAAGATGAAGCAAAACAAGTTAGCTGCTCTTGCGCGAACTTTCAAGGTTCGTGGATGCAGAAGGAAAGAAATTGCGCACGGTTGGTTGCAGTCAGGAAGGTTCTGGTTGCAGTGTGTCCTGGCAATCCTCCCATGTCAGCCTTCCTTTCAGACGTGGTTGTGCCTTGTGTTGCGTGCTTCAGTCGTGCATTTTCGTGTGGCTGGCTCGAAACTCTCTCCAAGGAGAGAGAGTTGCGACTCTTGAACAGCCCCGGTGGAGTCAGAGGTGCTGCAAGCAATATATCTCGCACTTCATCTTGCACTTGCATGATCCTTCCGGCAAGTCTGTAAATACAGAATAACTGAATCCGGCAGCAGACTCACTCAAGGATTCTCGGAAGCGTTCCAGTGGATACATAGGTACTTGAGGGCGGGGGCCGGGGGTTTCGTTTGGAGTGTAGCCATTGGAAGAGCGATGCCACAACTGCCGGCCTCTTAGACTCTTCGCCATGCCCCGTCCCAATTGGTGTGCAGTCGCGGAGAGGGATCAGGACAAAGGAGGGGATGAGTCTCAGCGGCGGTTACTGGATTGTGTCCGCTCGGACCTATCGCTTTGCTTGACCTCAGATGCCGAAGCCTTACTTGGCTTGTCCGAAGGAAACTGCGAGCACAAACCAGAAAGGGATCGTTGGAAACAACAAATGCTGAAGACAAGGCCAGATTCAACGAGCCTCCTTGGGTCGAGAGTACATGAGAACTGGTCACGAGCCATCGGGCAAGTGTGCCGAGGCCTGTGCCCGCAGCGGCGGTGAGAAACGGCCACGGCCATTCTGCCGACTGCGGGCGCGTTCTGCTGGCGGCCGCTCTTGGAGTGCCTCGGGACTGAACAACACCTCCAGAGCGCGGCAAAGAAGACTTCGCAAATGGAATGATGGCCTAAGGCGCACTCGAAGCTTTCACCAGCTTTGACCTTACATTATCATGCCTGCATACTGTCTCTCTCTCTCTCTCTCTCTCTCTCTCTCTCTTCGACTAGCCTGTATTATCTTCATACGGTGTCCCCTTCGTGGCCTGCAACCTTTGGCCCGGAAGGTAAATCAGTCGAAGCTTGTGCCTGCTTGGGGCTGAGATCCTTGCTTTGCGTTCAGTGATCGTCTTGTCCTGTTGACATGCTGCATATACTCTGTATACTGCGGATACTGTCATTGTGTTTGTCCGCAATTGCCTTTAATCAACTGCAACTTAGGTGTCTCCTACTTCGCCGTATTCCCCGCGGAGAACTTACAGACTGTCGGCGTTGCTTGCAGGGCAGCCCACCTACTGTCCTTGTTCAGGTGGCAGAACAGCTCTGAAGGAACTCCAGCAGAGCACTTGGGCGTTCATATCGGATATGGTGGGCGTGCAACTAGCACATGTTGTGCGACAGGGGAGGCGAGTAGCTGACGAGTGTCTGGAGGATGGAGACGCATTGCGGCACAGAAGTAAGTGGATCTGCATAGGCCGTCGCATCAAGTACGCGACACTGTTAGCACTCAGGAATCGGATCAGGTCAAGCCTGGCACCTCAGAAGGAGTCAATTAATGTTGAAAGAGACGGATGGCTGTGCTTTTCAAGGCCGAACGATGCGGAGGAGCACAAGGCCGGCTTTGGCTGGTACCTGATCCGCCGGAGTCTCAGAAAGTGATCCCGGCACTTCCTCTGTCGCCTTGCAGCTCTGAGGCTCTGCTTTAAACGGCCTTCGATCTCCTAGCAAGCAAGATGCTGACCAGGAGCAGGCAGGGTTCGTGGCACTTCAAAGTCCGCCAGTTGAAGGCAAGATACTGTAGCTGTAGCGCCAAAATACGTTTGAGACTATGATTGGGGCGACAACTAGCGGAGTGTTACTTAAATTAGGCGTATCAAGCTCCTGCGCGGATTGCTGTTTGATTGATGTCATGTGACTGGAAACTCATCGACTCATAGGAGCAGCCACGCCGGCAACCAAGTGCAAAAGCCAACCCGCAAAGATGCATGTCTCTGCGGGTGGCTAAGCAGCTTAGGTGTACAGAGAGACCACAGCCTGGACTTGATTGAGACCATGGAGCCGCTGACTGCAAAGATCTGCAAAGAGACGGGAAGAGAGTCGAGTCTGGAGAAGACCAAACTGGCATCTCCAGGAGGAGGGCCATGCCCACGAAATCACAAATGATTTCGTCGTGCCTCTGCCTCTTGGTTGAAATAAGAGCAAGCCAAGATCAGCGATGACAGACTGCCAGCTTTGCCCGCAGGCGGAGATCCAGCAAGCTTGGCGCTTGTGTCTTTGTTGAATCGCTCACTGTCATGCCACAACTTCATGGCGTGAGAGGCTGTGGCGATTTCGAGCCCTGCCCTTAGATTCCAATACAAACGAAGGCCTTTGCTCTGACTGATCCCCCGAAGCAAGGTTGTGCGTTCGGAGGACAAACTGTCGGCACGGCTTATCACTGACGCAGGCCTCCAGGACCAACTGTAGAGTTACAGCCATGGGGGCATGCCATGCAAGTTTATGCCACCTTGCAGACCTGTTGGAAGGAGCTCGGAGTCTTGTAACCGTTGGTCAGCCTTTTGCTGGTTGGGACCTTCTAACGATTGTAGTACCGCACACAAGCTGCTGAAAATCGTCATTCTCGAGAACTGTGCTAGTGCTTGGCAGATAAAGTCACAGAGATTGATCGAAGACTCGCTTGCAATGGTACCTGCAAAGATAGCTCATTCTATATCATGGGCTTGGAGGTTGCAAAAACATGTAAAACCGGAATTCAGGTTCCAGACCACTATGCTATGGATGTCAGTTTGCACTATCGAATCTGTAGCCCTCCCGCCAGCGAAAGGTGATTTTCTGATGCACGCCAGTGTTCGTTTGGAGGACGGCAGACGTCTTCGTCGCGTTCTTTGTAAGTGCACATTGAGTGAGCGGCACTGGCAGGCATCTCGGGTGGACTTCCACTTATACGATCCCAGCCTCGACCTTGGTAGCGAAGGAGCTGCAAGAGCTGCCTACGAGCCGTCTCAGCGAGGTCAGAAGGATCTCTTCAATCCAGCAAAGCGCGGTCTTTAGTCTTTAGTCCCTCTTTGCACGACTGTTTGTGTGAGCAAGCGAAGGCCAGCATTTACGATGGGTGTGCCACTCAGATGTTGGAATACTCACAGAAGCAGAAAAGACGGTTCTGGAATATGCGAAGACGTTGGCTTGGCATGCAGTAACCAAGGCAGCTTCGCCCTTTTGCATTATCACCCAGGTTTTAACTCGTCCAGAGATGAATGGAGACTAGTCGCAGAGCGGCACGAGGCTTAGCTTCTCGACAAGCTTTCGGAGTTGCTAGAAGCCGGCATGTGCCAAAGTGTGACGCTTGTTGTTTTTTGACCTGGGCTTTCACTCGGTCCCTCTACGGTCGGATATTAGACTTGCATGGGGCGTGCTATCGGGGTTCTACTCGAGTTTGCCTGCGTTGGTCTAGCTCTCCACCTCAGTCGACTCAGATTTTGCTTTTGAACACCTGGACCGGGCTTCATAGTCGTGTTGCTACCTCATTTTCATTTTCAATTTGTGTAGTGCTGTCGAAGCTGGTCATATTTGGAGGTAGGAAGTCCGTCACACAGACACAGCTGCGACCTGTTGCTGCGAAGGTGCCAGGCATGTCAGTATGTGCCGCCCCACCTCTCCTGTGCAACTCACGGCAAGCAGCAGGCAGGAAGTGTTCTGCTGACAGCAGCCAAGCGTCCAGTAGAAGTCTCGGTCCTGCACCAGGTGGCTGTCATCAAGCATCGCCAAGCCTCTGTCGGAGAAGGCATTTCAAACATCATGGAGGCGCATCCTAACAGCCTTCGTCACGCCTTCGTCGATCAATGCCCGGTAGTGATTCGACCTTCTTTGTCGGGCATCCTACGCCGTTTGTTGCCTAGGTGCGGATACCGGGCCTTTATCAAAATGATACCAGCGCCGGCGGCCAAACTGCTCCTGAAATGACAGCAAATGCTCGGCCAGCGACATCCCATGCGTTGCTTTCAGGTCATTTGGTGCCCAATGCTGGGCATGCCTGACTTGGCTGAAGCGAGACTGCTCATGGGAAGCCATGTGAATGGACTTGTGTTGGGGGTGTTCTCTACCATCATTTGTAGGCCTCTACTATGACAGAAACCCTGGCGACTCCGTGCCGGCAACGGGGCTTACAACAGAAACTGTAACGGAACGTAGTGGAGCTGTAACGGATTTGTCGCTCAGCTGTAACGGACCTGTAAAGGAGCTGTAACGGAGCTGTGACGGAAGCTGTAACGGAGCTGCAGAAGCTGCAACCGAGCTGTAACGGACCTGCTGCGGAGCTGTAACGGAGCTGTAACGGAAGCTGTAACGGAGCTGTAACGGAGCTGTAACAGAGCTGTAACGGAAGCTGTAACGGAGCTGTAACGGGGCTGTAGCAGAAGCTGTAGCGGGGCTGTAACGGAAGCTGTAACGGAGCTGTAACGGAAGCTGTAACGGAGCTGTAGCGGGGCTGTAGCAGAAACTGTAGCGGGGCTGTAACGGACCTGCTACGGAGCTGTAACGGACCTGCAACGGAGCTGTAACGGAAGCTGTAACGGAGCTGTAGCGGAGCTGTAGCAGAAGCTGTAACGGAGCTGTAGCGGACCTGCAACGGAGCTGTAACGGAAGCTGTAACGGAGCTGTAACGGAGCTGTAGCAGAAGCTGTAACGGAGCTGTAACGGAGCTGTAACGGGGCTGCAGCAGAAGCTGTAGCGGGGCTGTAACGGACCTGCTACGGAGCTGTAACGGACCTGCAACGGAGCTGTAACGGAAGCTGTAACGGAGCTGTAACGGAGCTGTAGCAGAAGCTGTAACGGTTACTGTAACGGAGCTGTAACGGACCTGCAAGGGAGCTGTAACGGAAGCTGTAACGGAGCGGTAACTGAGGGCCGAGGGTGGGTAGCGCAAATCCCATAGTAAATGATGGTAGAGAACACCCCCAAGACTTGTGGCTTGGCGCACATCGAATCTGCAACCTGCGCTGCCTGCAGGCTGAACTCAGCAATGAGATGCAGCAGCTCATTACCCGGAAACCGGTGTGGAATGAGAAGGCCCGCGCCCGTGCCAAATGCCCCGACGTCGTGCTGCAGCTGTAACTGCTTGGGCGTCAGCGCCGTGCAGACGAATACGTGGAGATTGTCACGAATGTTGTGTCCTTTCAGCATGATGCAAGTAGGTGCAAAGCTTGGTCTTGGATTTCAAGGGTCGTTCGCGCCTTAGCAGGTGATCTGTACCAACCATGTTTGTTCTTTTGGACTGTTTTCTTTTTGCGAGGCAACATCGTCTCCTCGGCTTCGGGGCCAAGCTGTCATCATGCTTTTGCACAGAACCAACACGAAGATCACGAAGCAACCATTGGCATCCCTTGATTCGACAATGACTACCCGCAGCTGGCGCAAGACTTGGAGGCATGTGAAGTGGAATCGAATTGATTCAGGCTTCGTACCACAACCCCAACCGCAACATGCAAGCCTCCATCACAGCGTAAACATTTAGTTACACACCTTTCATTAGTCTGTCCTTTCTCTTCCTCTGGGTGCTGGTCAAAATGGCTGCGTCTTTTGAGGAGAATCTCGGAAGGATCATTGATGGCTGTTCTGTGTTCTGGGTGAGTTCGCCTTGTACCAAAGTGCCCATGAGCCCTTAGGAAAGTCGCAGCACTTCGCAAGCTGCGTGAAAAGCAGCTGGCGAAGCAGGCGAGGCCATCTCGCCGCAGCTTGCAGCTGCAGTGCATTCTCGATGCATCGGGGACTGAAGGAGCAGAGCCGAAAAGAAGAGCAGTCTCCGCCCTAGCACGAAGCGCCACGAGCGATGAAAGCACCCGCGGCTGCTCAACACAAGTTCGACCTGTGCTTGCCCGGAGGAGTACCACTGTCACAGACGCTTCCGAGGACCAGACCTGCAGCTGCCTGTGCTAGTGCTGCAACATCCCCAGCTTGGCACGAGGAGCAATGCAGTCCTGAAGACTCCGCCCAGCAGGAATCACAGCAGGCGCAGCTGAAGCTCTTCGGATGCAGGACTTGTTGACAACTTGTTGAACATGGCCCTGTCTCGTCCAGGGCTGTTTCGTTTATCTCGTAGTTGCTGGTTTCCACTCGCGTAATTTCTGAGGCAAATCGCAGATTCGAAAGGCTGGCTGCGACACTGTGCCACTCCACCCTTTTGCAAGTTTGTCTAGTGATGCACGGTTTCAGCGTGCAAGATGCCGACGCTTTCTTCTGCAACGGCCACTGCTATGAGCGCGGATTGTATGGCTGCGAGATGAACCTCGAGGTTGCTGCGAGGTTGATTCTTGGACTTATGTAGACTGAATCCGCGCTTGCGGTCGCAGAGTTGGTCTTGAATTGGGAGCCCGGCCTCCTGCAATGTCAGGTACAGGCTCGCAGCTGAGAAGGGACACACTGTCGCACAGTGGCGGCTTGGAGAGCTTCTCGAGCTGCTTGCCAAACAGATCTTGGCACACATGATCCGGTAACGTTAAGTTGTTGATTGGGGTTGAATTATTGGTCTGGCCACTCACGTTCTAGCAAGGCATTCCCGCGATGGCGAAACTTTTAAGCTGCGCTGTACCGGTTATTACGAAAATGAATATTAGTGCCCTCTTTGTGTTCCGTATCACTAGCCTCCACTCCACCAGCAAGACTGGCGCTCCCTACGCCCCTGACCTCCCATCATTCCAACCGCCCCAATCGAGCACAGCCTCTTCCAGACCGGCCTTATTCTCAATTCCGCGATACTGTACTAAACTATACTATACCATAAGACTATCCAATACAATGCCATATAATAAGTATTTATACTGATTAGTATTGAAACGAGATAAAGCAATCACGACGGCCGCGTCTTCCAGATACTTGTGCTAGTAGCTTGCAGCTTACCTGTTTGTTAAGTGTGTCTCTGGGCCGCCAGTCATCGATAGCATCTGTCATATGCCACTCGGCAAAGACGCCCCTACATCTTGGGGTTGATTGCTTTTTGCAGTTCGCCTTGTGGTTCGAAAGGTGGGAGGCAACCGGTTGGCGCCATGTGTGCTCAAAACAACGGGGGCCGGCAACATCCCACATATCTTCAGGGATTGCAGCCAGTAGCCCCTAGCCGGTCACATCCCCCTGGGAAGCAGAAAGTGTCGACACTTTGGAGCAGATTTTCAGATCTTCTAGGCATTGCTGGGCAGTCAACCATCCCGCGCTTCCTTCACAGGTCCGGCTTGAACGGGCAAAGGCCCAATGATGCAAGAGAGGCCTTGCATTGGTACACCTTAGCCGCGCAGAGCGGAAATGCGGAGGCACAAAGTGTACCTTGACGCATGTTCCAGTTCGGGTGTCTCTGGAAACTTAAGGGCGATGTCAAGGCATGTGCATATGGTACTAAGCAGTGGTATTCTCTACACGTGGTTTGTGTGTGAGATTTTGTGTCGTCCTCGCTAAACTCTTGCCACTCGAAACTGCGCGGGAGAACTGAGCGGGGGTTCACAAACTTTCACGCAGTCCAATATTCCACGACCCGGCTTGAGACCTGGTGATGATAGACGCATGGAAGATTCGAGGCGCTGGCACTCCTGTTGGAAGATGGCGCCGATGGAGTTGACCAAGATCCGGCAGCTGCTTTGACGTGGCATTTGGCAGCAGCAGAAAAAGGAAATGCAGTGTGGCTTGTCTCAAAGAGTCTGTGATTATGTTATTCGTCATCTTTATTGCCGTAAAACCTGCCATGTTGCGGCATGACATCGTCGCGTCATTTGCAGCCACAGGTGGTCCCTACCGGTACGGGTAAACAGGCGGATTGTAACAACAGCTCGGTTGGACTCTTCTGTTCCGAAGAAGCAAACACAAGAACTGCGAGCAGGAAGGCACTATTGCGGCACTGTGCAGACGAATATTGCACGTTTGACGGTTTCGTTGGACACCTGTGTATGTCGAAAGTAACTAGGCCGGATCAGAAAGCCAGCCCGGCAGCATTCGTCATTGAGAGGAAGGGCTTTGTACACAGAGTTGGCTCTGCAGGGTTGCCCGGAAAGCACAGGCCCCACATGTGCTTCGATGCGGTCAGAGAGACAAAGCGTGCTGAGGTGAAAGCAGGCGCCCAAAAAGCAGCTGACAGTTGTCGGGAATGGCAAGAACCAAGGTCTCAGTACTGCGCGGCTTGCAGGCTGTCCAGTGGCGGCGACGTAGAAGCAGCGCACCATTGGCTGCAGCTCAGCGCAGATCAGGCAGATTGCGATGACCATTCCTGGAACGATTCGCAGGAGAATTGCAAGCATCTGTTGTCGGCAGGGCTTTCGGCCGGCAAAGCAAGTTCTGGACGAAGCCGAGCTCAGCGCTTTACCGGGAAATTCTCTCGGCCGAGGCAAGTTTGCGAGTACACAAAGATTCTTTTCCTTCGTTGGTGCAGCCAGACGTGGAATGTTGCGAGCTGTGCCTTCAACTGAGTTTTCCGTGGCACGCTTGAGAAGGTTAACGCAGCCCCCACCCCGCCACGAACTGTTTCGAAACGACTGGCCACTTCCATTTGGCAGACCCGACCTCCACAGCCTCGACAAGCCCCGATGGTGAAGACCTCGTCGGCCTGGCCATGCGCATAGCCCATCAGCTGAAGGGCCTTCAGGACCCTGACAAAGCTCAAGACCAGATGGCACATGTCTGATTTCGGAATTGTAAGCGTTGTTTTTCGCGGATGGCGTATAACATTCGAGGTGGATTGGAGTGGGCTTTGCGAGACAGTTGAAACAAAGGCCATCTCGTGCCAAGTCTGATGCGGTGATGGTTGCAGCTGATGCCAGAGTCAAGCAACGATAGACATGGGTGGGGTGCCTGAAATTCTGCAGGACGACGAAGAAGCAGCACAGCTGCTAGAGGAGCTGCTGAATGATTGTCCAAGCCTGGTGGACTCAGCAGGTGCCGTCGCTGTTGTCGCTGAACCGAACATGATTCCCAATTCTGAGAAAACTCTCGGAGGCGACGCCACTTCGGATGCAGTTGGCAACCTACTTACGCTATATCTTCAGTGAAAAGCACGACACAGCCTGCACTGTGAGGCTTTAATTTCAAGATTCACTTACCGAGGCAAGCTCCTGATGTGATCAAGGGGATCGAAAGCTATCCCCTAATGCGATGTCCATACTTTGTCCATGCAGCAGACAAAGAACCCTGCTGCAGCTGCCGGTTCAGTTCTGGAAGAGCCATGAGATAGTGAGTGATGCGTGTGTTGTCGAAGAGCTGCCCTCTTGGCCAGTCCAGGCCAAGAATTTTCAATTAGCACTGCGTCAAAAGCCGCAGCACGTCATTTGCCAGTGGCTCGGTGGCAAGAAGCCAAGAGCCCAAGCTTCCGCTCAGTCTTATGATCGGGGGCATCGGGTGACACGGCGGCTGAGGTATGGCAAGCTTGGGCCGACAAACTTCGGTCTGGATTTCAGATATCCGATGAGCGCTTTGGCGAGAATTCATGCTTGTAACATAATTTGCGACTTGTGCCATGGGTTCGGGGATTGGATTTCCTGCCGTTCTGCTGAAAACACACTGCAAGCCTGTCACATGAGAGGTGAGGATATAGAGCATCACTCAGGCGTGATACAGGCCTTCGGTGCAGCTATGTCGACGTTGTTCTGGCTGCTCGGCTGCTAGCGACAGTGCTGCCGATATGGTCTGACTGAATCACCTAGCCGCCTAGCATAGCCTAGCGACCTAGCCTGTTTGCCTGGGCATCACCGCATGGATCAGAGACGCTCAGGACGTGAGTAGCAACGCCACAACGGCATCCAGGAGGCCACCTGAAAAAATCAAGCTGCATCTTATTGGAGTTGTGGCGATGACTTCATTTCAAAGCACTCATAAGTTTCCCAAATATCAGATAGATGTAAGCAAGAAAAATTCCGCATAGATTCAAGACGCTCAGATTCAAACATCTTAAACCTTATCGGCCACGAAGATGTGAGAGAACAGACTCATCCTCTATTTCTACATTTTATACACTTATCTCGCCATGCGGGAGCCAAAATGAAGGAGGTTCAATATTCGTGCTTTACCTCTT